TTTTCAATATAATGCACTCAGCATCGACATTCACAAACGTCATACAAACTTATAGGCATTGATAATAACAAACTTCATTAATAGTGAATATTCAGGGAAAATTACAATATTCAGTACATCATATTCTACACAGTCCTAGAGATCTCACATGACCATGGAAAACTTCTCTAGGAATCGGCTTCGTCATAGGATCTGCTATCATCATTTGTGTAGATATGTACTTCACGTTTACTTCCTTTCGTGCAACCATGTCCTTGACATAATTATATTTGATATCTATATGTTTGGTCTTTCCATGGTACTTGAGATCCTTAGTGTACGCTATTGCTGCTTGGCTGTCATAATAGACCAATACTGGGTTTGCAGCATTCTCAGTAAAACCTAAGTGATCCAAAAATCTTCCAAGCCAAACAGCTTCTTGTGCCGCTGCTGATAGAGTCACGAACTCGGCTTCCATTGTAGATAAGGCTACACACTGTTGTTTCTTACTGCTCCAAGATATGGCGCCATTATTCAGTAAGAACACGTATCCAGAAGTAGATTTCCTTTCTTTTAAATCTCCTCCCAGTCAGCATCAGTATAGCCTTCAAGGTGTAGATCACTTCCTTGATAAGTCAACGCATAATCGGCACTTCCCTTTAGATATCTCAGGATTTTTTTGACGGCGATCCAATGTGCTTGACTTGGATTGGATTGGTATCTACTTACCATTCCAACTGCATAACAAATATCAGGTCTTGTACACATCATAGCGTACATCAAGCTTCTGACAGCACTAGCATATGGAACTTGTTCCATTTGCTCCTTGTCTTATGAAGTCTTAGGACACATTCTGTCTCTTAATGCTTCGCCCTTTACAATAGAAATATCTATTGGTTTACAGTCTTGCATATGAAATCGCTCAAGGATTTTATTCACATACGTCTCTTGTGAAAGGGATAGGGATTTCTTTGAGCGATCTCTTGAAATCTTAACTCCAAGAATCTATGCAGCTTCACCCATATCTTTCATCTCAAAATTGGAAGATAACCAATTCTTGACTGTATTGACAAACTCCATACTGCTTCCGGCATTTAGTATATCATCAACATATAATGATAAGATCACAAATTGATCTTTGGACCTTTTGATAAATACACAATTGTCTTCACTAATCATTACAAAATCATATGCCATTATGGCATTGTGAAAACGTATATACCATTGTCTCGAAGACTGCTTAAGGCCATATATCGACCTCAATAGTCGACACACTTTGTGCTCCTGGCCTTTTGTAATGAAACCAATAGGTTGTTCCATATAAATTTCTTCATCTAATTCTCCATTGAGGAATGCAGTCTTTACTTTTATTTGATGTAATTCAAGATCCATACTAGCTACTATTGCCAGAATAAGGCGAATAGAGATAAATCTAACCACAGGAGAAAAAGTTTCTTCAAAGTCAACTCCTTCCTATTGATTATATCATTTCGCCACAAGGCGAGCCTTATACCTCTCTATTGAGCCATCAGCCTTACGCTTTATTTTGAGAACCCACTTGTTCCCAATGGCTTTGCGTCCTTTTGGAAGGTCAATCAATTCCCAAACTTGATTTGATCTTAATGACTCCATTTCTTCTTCCATTGCATGTATCCATTTTTCCTTATCAGGGCACATTAGAGCATCGTTCACATTCTTCGGCTCATCTTCATCTTGTGGGCCGATCATGAAAGCTTTTCCTTCAATGTCAAAACGTCGACGGGGAATCCTATTACGACTTAACTGTCGTATGGAATGCTGTACTCCTGATGATTCACCGCGTTCTATTGCGCTCCTACTCGAATTAGATAATGGTGGTGTCATCTCTTTAAGTGGTTGCAATTGAGACTGGGTTGCATTCAACTCCCCATTTGTCACAATGCTCCCACTAACTTCACTATCACAATCCACAGATTCGTATAGTGAGTAATCTCCACCTACTTCGCCTTTTTAGGAAATTCATTGTCTAAGAATGTAACATCCCGTGATTCAAATTTAGTTATACTTCCGCTTTCTTGCTCACCTATGAATACATATCCTTTTGAGTGCTCTAAGTATCTTATAAAAATACTCTTTTTGCCTCTTGGGCCTAATTTTCCATACTTGTGAGAAGACTCGCGAGTATAGGCAGCACAACCCCAAGGTTTTAGAAAACTTAAATCAGGCTTTCTGCCTGTCCATAACTCATATGGAGTAGAAGCAACTGATTTAGAAGGCACACGGTTAAGTATGTAGGCAGCAGTCAACAAAGCATCACCCCAAAAAGTGATGGGCAAGTTAGCTTGTGCCATCATTGACCTAACCATTTCCATTAAGGTTCTGTTTCTTCTTTCCGCAACACCATTTTGTTGAGGAGTATGTGGAATTGTTAGTTGTCTTTCTATTCCCTTTTCATCACATAAATTTCTGAACTGATCAGACATATATTCTCAACCTCGATCGAATCTTAATGCTTTTATTTTTTTTATCTAATTGATTTTTCACTAAGCTCATAAATCTTTTAAAGCAATTTAAAGCCTCGGACTTATGAGAAATCAAATCGACATGTCCGAATCAAGTATGATCATCAATGAATGTGATGAAATAAACAGACTCGTGCATTACTTTTACATTCATTGGACCACAGATGTCAGTATGGATTAATTGCAAAGGAAATTCAGCTCTTGTTCCTTTTCCAAATGGTTTTCGCGTTGTTTTTCTTTCTAGGCAATGCTCACATATGGGCAAATCAACCTTTTTAATATTGCCCGAGAAGCCATCTTTAGCCAATCGATTCATTCTTTGTTGGCCAATATGACCAAGTCTAGCATGCCACATATTCACATCATTCTCATAAGAATCAGATGATGTAAATAAGGAATAACTAACATTAACTTCACAATAGTTAACATATAATACAATGAAACCATCTAAAAAATATCTGGAACCATAATAATTTGTACCTAAAGACAAGTCTACACCATTGTTATGGAAGTTTACATTAAAACCAAGTCTAACTAAAACCAATACCGAAACTAAGTTCCGACGAATCTCCGAAGCAAATAGCACATCATGTAGGAACACTGTGCATCTACCACGCATAAGTAGTTGACAGGTGCCAATGCCTCTGACCTCTACTCTTGAATTGTTCCCCACGTATATCCACTTCGTTCCTTGTGGAACTCATCGAAACTCCACGAAAGCTTCTCTGTCCTTCGCTATATGGTTTGTGGCTCCTGAGTCTACAGTCCACAAAGGATTAGATTCAGTTAGAAACACTGAACTAGACACATAAGTAGCATTTTCATGAATGCTAAGAGTTTCTATCTTCTTTGGCTTGCCACAGTCACGAGCAAAGTGACCCTTCTTGCCACAGTTGTAACATTTCACTCTTGAAATGTTCTTCTTGAAAGGACGCTTTCCTTTTTCCCGTTGGTTGTGTCTCGGTTTCTTCCCTGAAGGACTTGCTCCCTTGCCTTTCCACTTCTTTGACCCAGCAGGGTGCTTCCTCTTGGAGCCCGAAACTCCATGCGAGCTAGAACCAGCAAAGTAAATATCAGTTTCTGGCTTAGCCGCCATAAGGCAATCCTCTTCCAGCTCAAGATGCTGCATAGCATCCTCGAAGGTCTTGATACCCTCATTGTGGGTCAAATGGATCTTTATGTGCTCCCAGTTTTGAGGCAAGGAGCGGATTACTGCCTGCACCTGCTCTTCATCAGTGAGTATGTGGCCGGCATCCTTCAGCTCACTAATCATATTCGACATCTGCCTCAAATGTTGTTTCATGGTCTTTCCATGAGACATCTTGTATGAGTCGAAACGGATAGTGAGTTATCTCAGTTTGATCACAGAAGTTCGACCAAATCTTGATGCCAGTGCAGCCCACATGTCTTTGGCATTCTTGAAACGTCCGAACTCTCGCATGATGTCATTGTCCATGCTGCTTAGCAACGTAATGCGAGCAAGAGAGTTCTTTCTTTTCCAAATAGTAAAGGCATCTTTGTCCCTTTTGTGTTGGGCAGTTGTCCCATCCTCAAGTTCTTCCATAATCTGGTTAAGAGCTTCGAGTGCCTCTTGCTCTTTCAGCACATATTAAATCTTGAGACTCCAAATCTCATAATTGTCGCCATTCGATTTTTCTCCCTTATTAAGTTTAGCTACTATGTTCTTAGTTGCTGAAGCCATCGAATCTGAACATTTCAGACACATACACACAAATTATTAAAGCCTATCTTAATGCTTCATCAGCATAATGATTACATAAACTAATCATATTAATGAATAGTTTCACAAAAGATCTTAAAGTCGAAAGTTCACTATGTTCCCAATCATCGTCTAAAAATCCTAATTTGAAATTATCATTAACATAATCATTTATGTAAAGAAATTGGTTCTTCAAAAGTTATACAAACTTTTAAGAACTTCCTACATATAACATAACATATAATATGGCAATATAAAATGAGAAATCACAAAAATTCATAGCCATATATATTTCATAACACATTCACAAATGTTTAAGAACATGTAATATCAACTTGAAACATGTACAGAATTGATTCCAAATCCTAAAAGAACAATATCAAGTGTATCAATCCAACACATAGACAGGAAAGGACTCATAAAATTCTTTAGAAAATTCTATTTTCTTTGGCACATAAATGGAGGCTCCAGGAAAACCCCTAGATCCGGGCCATGGTTTGCCCCGAGACCCATTCAATGCAAGGGTTGATGTTCTCCTTGCCCCGACCCTTATGTATTCTTGAAGAAAATTCTCCACAAGCATTTTATAGCTTGGACCCTTTAAGGTTTCTTTAACTTTATTAAGAATTCTTCCCAACTTCTCAGGAATAGTGCATTTTAGGGCTCCGACCATTACATATTCCGACATTACAAAACCGTTCCAAATGATATTCTGTATCATTTTGTTGACCTTGATGATGAGTGTCATCATATCATCTCCAGCGTCCCATCGATAAAGAGCTAGCTTGATTCTTAGTTTCTCAAGCCTCTCCTTTTGAGTTGTCGTTCTTGGGATTATCGGAGTGCGTCTCCAATGTATCATTGTTCCTGCAACGAATGCAGAACAAAGGGATTACTTATAATCCATGATACATTAAGATAAGGAATGCTTATTCATATACATATGATCTAACACTTGTATTTCAAAAAACTATAGAGAAATACTAGAGAAAATGTCAAAGAATATACCCCTAAGTACGTGTACATAGGGTTTATCGTGCATTTTCACATTCATAAGTGCAGTAAACATGTAATATGAATATATCATAACATAGAGCATTCCGATACGAGCACGTCGATACCAAAAATGCCCAAATCGGAGTTCAAATGAGCTCGAACGGGCCGAAAGAACACAATGGGGTCATTCTGCCCAGTTTGAACCGGTCCGATTTGACCGGTTTGACCGGTCCAACCGTTGACCGGTCAACCGGGTCGGGTCAACAGTCAATCGGGTCGGTCAACGGGTCAAAGACAACCGGGTCGGATCAAGGTCGGGTCTTGGGTCGGGTCTCGGATCCGCGCTCCGATGACGTCATCGTTGGCGATTGGCGACGATCGACGCGCTGTTTCGCCACGGCTGTGTGTGGGCCTCACGCGCCGTTTCGCCACGGTCGCGCGTGGACCTCACGCGCCGTTGCGCCCACGGCCCTTGTCGGCGCGTGAGGGCGCGTGCGGCCTCCTCTGGCGACGCGCCACCCCTCATTTTGCTCGTCTCGACGAGCACTTTCTGTCTATGCAATAAAAATCAAGTTTTGACGAAAAACAAAAATCGAAACATGCATGAATAGTTCGGCGACGCGAAGAAAACAAACAAAAAATGAGGCCGAAACCAAAAACAAGCAATATACATTTCAATGTTAGAGACGATACACATGCATGATCGGGAAACAAGTAAACGGGCTCTGATACCAATGTTGGGAAAACTCAATCCCCGATCGACACATTCGAAACATATTCGAAACGAATTCGATCAATGCGGAAAACGTGCCCGATGACCATCAATTTGTATCACTGATCGTACAGGCATATCACACAATGAACATACCTGGTATTGTCACAGATTAAGTGCCACTTTGCGCTGGAGAGTTCTTTGATCATCTTTCGTACTCGTTTGCTTTCCGAAGGAAAAACAAAGATAACGTTATGTTCGAAGGAGTGTGTTCTTTTGCATATGGAAAAACACGTGCGTTTTTCCAAGGGGTGCCGACTATTTATAGTGATAGCCAAATAACTACCTTGTGGGCCATTGTGGCTCACGAGCCGGGTTTGGCCCATCTTGGGCGGTCCACCCATTATGTCTTTCAGATAACAGTTTGACGGAAATCAATGTCTTAATCAAATTGCGGATCTGCCATGAACCTAGGACTCTTAAAGAGCATTCGGTTGATAGCGCTCTATTATCAAACAAGAGGAGTTTTATGTCTCGAACGGTTTGCGAATGGACCTAGTGATATACGAAGATGGAAATGTTCATTTGGAAAGGAAAGCAAATGTGTTACCGCATAAACAACACCAGCGAGAAGAGACAAGCTGTGTTTTTCTAGTGTTGTTTGTCATCGTTAGCAGTATGATCACCTAACTTAAATAGAGATGAACAAGCAACTATGTTAAAAAACTTCATTTTCGAAAGAGGGAAAGATCACTCGATGCATTATTTTCAGGGAAATTAGGACACAACCTAATTCAAATACAAAGGTAAAAACTTACATAGATCTGGCAGATCCACACTAAGGCCAATGTCGATCAACGACAATAACAAATGACAGCAAAAAAAACCAATCCTGCCATTACCCGGAAATGCAGAATGAGAGAACCTAAATTTTTCGGCAATTAGACAATTTTCGAAAACTGTCCTGCACAAAGTAGTAGCATGTGATAAGCAAGCTCCGACATTTGGTGATAACCAGTTCCACATAGCAACACCATCCCTGTCGCCATTGGGGGTTGATGAATAGAACAACCGGAATTACCAGTAAAACCGTCGTGTATGACACTCCAAAGCTGATATACAATGTCTCTCTGTCTATGAAACCGTCTTCTTTAGCTTTCGTGCATGATTTTGTTGCTGAGGAATTAACGTTAATGGTTGTCGAGCAGTCCTTATTCAACGGTGTTGACACCTAAATTTTGCCCAAATCATTTAGGATTTTATCGCATAAAAATTAGGGTTTAATTTTAACCCCTAAACCAAAAATATTTTCATTAAATTCCACGGCATGTAGACATTGGGCACATTTGCATTAATAAGGCATATTCGAACATGCTTTCCTTGTTTAAATTCAAAAAAAAAATTAAAAAAAAATTAGAAAAAAAATTAAATTTAAAAAAATTAATTAAAAAAAAAAATTTTGAAAAAGGGGGAACCAGCATTATTCAACGCCGGCCAGCACAGCGTCGCAAAAAAAAAATTTAAAAAGAAATTAATTAATTAAAAAATTTAAAAAAAAAAAAAAAAAAGAGACCAGCATTGAATAATGCTGGTCACGCGTGGGTCTTTCCCCAGTGTTATCCAACGCTTCTGGAAAGGGGAAGAAAAGAAAGCAAAACGAAGCAGGAGGCAGAAGAGGAAGCAGAAACAGAAGCGGCAAAGCAGCAGGAAGTGAGCGCATCGAGGACGGCGCAGTGCTTCCGATCTGCATCAAGGGAGTCCTGCAACCGTTTTAGCCGAAAACGGGTCTAGCTTGGTCCCGAGAGTAGGACCGACTGCTGACGCTTGACGAAACGGGGGAGGGCACACTGATCCATGGCTCCCCTGAGCTTGAAATGGAGGGAGAGCGTCGCCGGGGAAGGGGAGGAGGAGCAGAGCCTCCTCTTTCTCTGGACGTTAAAAGTGGGGGAGATCGAATAGAAGAAAAAAAAACAGAGAGAGAAATCGGGGAGAGAGAACAGAGAGTTACCGAGAGAAGGTGAGCGAGAGATCGAGAGAGAGAACTCGACCACATCCCCCGGCACTCGTCGGTTGGTGTCGTGGCCGAGAATCATCCTTCCTTCCCCCCACGTCATTTTTCTGGTAAGTTTAGATCTGAGTTTCCGTCAAGCTTTGCTTGATTTGGGGGTCGATTTCCCGAGGATCCCGGCTCGAAGGCGTGCGAGGCGACCGGACTAAGTCCGATATATCTCAAGTTCGCTCTCTATCCGTCGTCTCTGAGCCGAGTAGGGCCACTTTCGTCGATTGTGCTCACGTTCTTCTTCGCCCTGATTGTTGCTCAGTTTCGCCCTATCTCGGTTCAACCGAGACCGGGATTTAGCGTTCTTCGTTTATGATTGCGTTGGATGTGAAAGAACCATTTCCGAGTTGATATTGAGCATGGCTTGTTCACTGCATTTTGAGTTTGGGTTGATTTCGTGCGCAGTTTGAGTCGGGAGTTTCCTTTCTAGTACTGCACGCTACGTGTTTGCTGAAATGCATCAACTAGATTCGTAAACCTTTTTTTTTTTCTCGAGTCTGATTTGTTGGAATGTTGGGATGTACGTTGGTTTGTGATGTCTGAAGACGGGGTGGAGTTGTATGATTCCCCGAACCACACCGTTCGCGGCAAATGCTTTTGTTGTTCGATGTTTGCGCTTTTTCGTTCTTCCATCTTCTGTGTGCTATGATGATGTAGCTGCGTATGTGATGTGTTTGGCTGCTCATTGCGATGGATGATGGCAAGACTCGTTAACTTTGATGGTCGGTTTGATAGTGCGAGATAGGGCCATTCTTGTTGAGCATATGACGTTATTATTGTTGTTGAAGTTCCGGCATTTCAGAACAAATGCGTAGCGTTTAATTTTTTTTTTTTTTTTGAGTAGCAAGAATGCGAAGCAAAAGTTGTGTTCTGGGCTTCATGTGTTAGTTTCTAGGCAATGAGAAGATGACGTTCAGAAAGAAAAAAAAAATGGAAAAAAAAAAAGAATAAAGGGGAAGGGGAAATACAAATTTTTTTTTAAAAAAAGATAAAAAAAAATAAAAAAAATTTCGAAAAATCAAAAATTGGAAATTGGGTTTTGAAATTGTTTTTCTCTCCCTTTTTGTGTGATTAGCTTATGTTTGATTGCACCTCGTTTGATTTGCACACTTTGAATTGCGCGTTTAATTTAATGGTTGATTATGCATGTTAATGTGTCGATTTTTGCTTCCCTTAGCTTAGTTAGGAATGGAATTTTGAGACTCCCGATTAGTGTGAACACGTTAGATGGTGAATTGAGCAAGATTAGGTACCGAAAGGGCACTAATTAGTCAATTAGTGTAATCAAGTCCCCGTACCCATTGAATCTCTGGTTCGTAGAAGTAAAGCATTTCTCCCGTGCTTTACTTGGGTGTCTAATTGACCCACCAAAAATCGATTAGTGGCGACTCCTAGATGAAATTGATTTGCATGTTAACAACTTAAACTTAAGTCGCGAATTGGTATGGGCTTGGGAGAGCTCGAGCTAGGTTCAACTTAGTAATCCATTAGCCTAACACCTTAGGCGGCGGGGCCAGTTCGGGGAGGTCACGACAAACGGTAGTCCACACAGAAGAAGGTTTCCATAGTAACTGCTTTCATCGAATGCCCCAAACTGATTTTTGTTTGGTATGACTCCTGACAAGTCATTGTAAGACACATTGAAGACTTCCAGGGAATTCAACTGAGTAAGCTCTTCAGGGATAAAACCATTCGAGTTGTTGTAGGAAAGGTCAATGCTTTCTATCTTTGTGAGGCTCGACAATGACATCGGTATACGTCCTGTAAGCTTGTTATGCGACAGGTTCAGCACAAGCTTGTTCTGTAAATTTGCAATCTCCGCTAGGATCTCGCCGCTGAATTGGTTGCGAGAAAAATCTAGTCCAACCATTTCAAGGAGTGCATAGCCTTTATAAGAATCAAACCTTCTCTTTGTTGTGAATCCAGCAGTATGTGGAACTTGCAATGCATTCACTTCCGTTATTTTTTTACTGTCCCTGGTACGGCTTGCCTTCACATAAGACCAAGTTGACCACTCTTCAATTCCAATTTCGGCATGCGGTGTTGAAGTTATCTTATCGGTGTATCCTTTGGAGAAATTCATGGGTCCCAAGCAACTGGGCAATGGACCAAATAGATTGTTATTAGAAAGATCGATCATACTTAAGTCTTTCAATCTGCACAATTGCTCGGGAAATGTTCCACCAAAGCTATTACCTCTCAGTGAAAGAATGCTCAATTGAGAGAGGTTACCTAGCCAATAGGGTATGCTTCCGGAGAACTCGTTTTCACTCAGATCCAAGGTCACCAATTCGGAGCTGTTAGAGAGCACATGCACGATTGAACCATTCAATTTGTTCCTAGATAGTTGGATGTGACTCAACTCGGGTGCTATAAAAGATGATGCTAATGAACCAAAGAGATTGTTGTCTGACAAATCCAAAAACTCAAGCGAAGCAAGATTAAAGAGTTCCCTAGGGATGAGGCCGTCCAACTGATTTTTGGACAAGTCAAGGGCCACAAGAAATGACATGTTTACACTTAATCTGGGAAGCTTGCTGATGAAAAAGTCGTTGCTAATGTCCAATACACACAAATTTACAAGTGATGAAAGAAAGGACAGATTTCCATAGAACATGTTGTGGTCTAACCGCAGATCTGTTAGATTTAGGCTCATGGTGTCGTCGGAAAATACAATTTCTCCTCGCAAGTTGTTATATGCTACGTTGAGGCTATATATTGATGAGTTACTATCTAGTAATTGGACAGGTAGTCCCCCTGAGAAATTGTTGCTAGACAGGTCTAAGAAATGTAGGGATTTTATACTACCCAGTTCAGATGGAATATTCCGGGGGAAGAACAGCAGAAGTGCCAAAAGTTGTGTACGGAGCTCACTTTGGTGCCAAAAGTTTCATTTGGATCACTTAAGTGCCAAATCGGAGGAAAAATGATCACTTTTGTGTCAACGGCGAGAGATTCTGACCAAATTAATACGTGGCATTTATAATTAAACTTTTAATCTTAGTTGGATTTTTTTAAAAAAATTAGTCTACGTGGCATTTTCACGTATATATGTCGATTTTTTAAATACTTTTATGAATTATTTTCTTTTTTTTCTTTTTTTCTTTTTTTCTTTTCTTTCTTCTCCCTTTGGTCACCGCCGGTGAAAGGAAGCCGGCCACCGACTGCCTGGCCTCGCCCGAACGAGGCCGTCGCCGCCTGCCATAGGCGAGGCCCGGCCGACCCTCGCCTGGGTGACGGCGGGCAAGCCCCGGCAAGGTCGACCTCGCCTCGCATAGGCGAGGGTGAGCCTCGGCAAGGGCTCCCCTTGCCAGATCCGGCGAGGCCGACCGTCGCCCAAGCCAAGGCGACGTCTGGTGAGGCCGCCGCGGCCTGGGTGACGGGAGCCCTCGCCGGGGCTTGCCCGCCATCGCCTAGGTGAGGGTCGGCCAGGCCTTGCCTGTGGCGAGTGGCGGCGGCCTCGTCCGAGCGAGGCCAGGTGGCCGGTGGCCGGCCTCCGGTCACTGGCGGTGACCAAAGCGAGAAGAAAGAAAAGAAAAAAATGAAAAGAAGGAAAAAAGAAAAAAAAGAAAAAAATTATTTAAAATAAAAAATGCTAACTGTACGTGCTGACTGTATCTCCGGCAAGCCACATCGGCTTCAGAAATTAATAAAAAAAATGCCATATTGGATTTCCGGCCAAAATGACCGGAGTTGGCACTTAAGTGATCGTTTTTTAAAAATTTTGGCACTTAAATGATCCAAATGAAACTTTTGGCACCAAAGTGAGTTCCGTACATAACTTTTGGCACTTCTGCTGTTCTTCCCCCGAATATTCCCTTCCAATTTGTTGGCTGACAGAATAAGGTAGAACAAATTTGGGACATTTGCACAAATTTTGGTAGTGAGCTCTCCTCTCATGCCGTTGTTGGATATGTCTAGCACCGAAAGATTAAAAAGGGTCATTGGTGGAACCTCAAGTGTCGTAAATAAGTTATTTGACAAAGAAAGCATTTTTAAGTTAGTATTGTTTTCCAACAACCAAGCTGGAAAGGGACCTGGAATGTCATTCGAGGAGAGATCCATGATTCTTAGGTCATATTAATGATTGAGAAAGCCCAGAGAAGTCAATTTGAATCCTCTCGATGGACTCTTTGACGTACTAAAAACCTTCAACTGGAACCTTGGGATCAAAGACACAACTTTGGTATCGATTGTTAGTTTGGTGTCATCAAGCAACAGGACCTTAAGGCCTGAATGGTTTGCAAGTGGGCCGAGTGATGAGGGGATATCAAAATACTTACTCGAAATGGAAAGAAATTCGAGTGAGGTAAGACCAATGAGGGGAGATGAGGCGACACTATATGTGAATTCATTGTCTTCAAGATTCAGAACCCGAATAGAGGTTATGTTTTGCCAGCATGCAGGAAGCTCGCCGGTAATTCTGTTAGTGCTAAGATCTAGCTCTTCTAGTTTTACCAGGTTGCACAAGGCTGTTATTGATATCACAAGTCAATTCAACTACAATGAGACATATCGGAACATATAACAAAAGGACATACACATACATGAAGGATCCATTTATGTCCAGCTTTTACACTGAGAGATCGGGACTTACTCTGATCTGATAGGTTGCCAATTAGACCAGTGCTGGATGAGGACAACAATCTAAGAGATGTCACAGGACCAAGGCTGGAAAGGATTCCCATGCTTGTGTTCAACGAAGAATAATCCAAGATGAGCTGTTCCAACTTACTGAAGTTATGGAAATCTTCCCAGAGAACAAAACATAACTAAATATCAGATTTCCTTACACAAGCATAATCAAGAAATGGTACAGAATTATCACGAGTGAATGGAACTTTTTTTTAATAAAAACTTATTTTGAATATACATTCACTAACGGGTTCGACTAACCTTGAGCAGTAATTGTTCCTTCTACTGTATTATCCTGGAGAGAAAGGATCCTGAAGGATGACAATGCCCCTAATGCTCGCAGGACGGTCCCTGCGTCCTTCAAGTGGACACCATTTAGGTAGAGGTTCTCTAAGTGGCTCAAGTTTTTGATGCCTAGCAGTAAAATTCCAAGTAATTAACTCGCTTGGCAGTAAATTGTCAAAGCACACACGAGGATGCCTTGAGATAGGAATCTTTTGAATCAGCGACATTTCTATATGGAAAGAGAAGGGGGTTGCAATATGACTTATGTATTCTTAATATGAAGCACATGTAAAGGTATTAAAGAGCATGTATGACTCGAAGGCTAGTTAGTCTAATATATGAATAAAATGAGGATCTTGCATGAAAACTGAAGCAGTACCTTCAGCAGTAGCTGCTGCATCAACTACATTATAACTTATGTCCAGCTCCTTTAAATTACTGAAATCACCTAATTTATACACAAACATTGCTAACTCAAGTCAAGGATGGCAATTTTGTACGGAATTATGAACAGAGAATAAGCTGGAGAAATTACCATTCATATGTAGGGTGTGTTTATTTAAGGAAAAGTGTTTTTCAGGAATCAGTTTTCCAGACTTTCACCCATTTGGTTCATCAAATATGATAAGTCAACCCAAAAACACTTTCCGGTCAAGGAAAAATTCATATATAAGATTAGAAAGGTGAATTCCCTAATCTAAGAAGGTGAAAACACTTTCCAAAATTACTCATCTTGAATTTCTTAATAACTTCTATTTTTTTCTTTTTTTCTTGATTAATGAAATTATTCTTATAAAATATTTTTTAAAAAAATCGAATTTTTAATTATTTTTATTTTTATTCTTTTCTTCTCTTTTCTTTTGTTTTTTCTTTTCTTCTTTCTTCTTTCTTTTTCTTTTTTTCTTTTCCCTTTTCTTTCTTCCTCATTTCCTACGTTATAGATGATTATGTCCACATCATCATTTATCCACAAGTCTATGATATATTTCACTGAAATAACAATACCTGCTCGTGCACGTACTTGAATAGATTTCTGTGGAACTGCTTTTCGTTGTTTATTTGCAAAACCAAACCTGCTATCTTCAAGGCTGGGCAAACTAGAGGTGCTTGACTTGAGTTTTAACTCTCTGGATAATTCTATTCTGCCAATTCCCGGTACAATTCCGTCTCTCAGGTGTATATACCTCCAAGGCAACAATTTGAGTAGGACTTTACATATGAATGGTAATATCTCCGGCTTATTTTCTGCTCATAATTCTGTACAAAATTGCCATCCTTGACTTGAATAGTTTTCTGCGGACTTTACTGCTTGTCATTGTTTGTTTGCAGAACCAAACCTGCTATCTTCAAGGCTGAGGAAACTAAAGGTGCTTGACTTGAGTTTTAACTCTCTGGATAATTCTATTCTGCCCATTCTCGATGCGATTCCGTCTCTCAGGTGTATATTCCTCCGAGCCACCAATTTGAGTAGGACTTTACAGGTGCGTTTGTTTTGCGGAAAACTTAATAATAAAGGAAAATATTTTCCGGAAAATCATTTTCCAAGAATACACTTAGTTTTCCTTTGTTTGGTGATACATGATGAAAATCATTTTTTGATAATTGGATTTTATTGGAAAATGATTTCAATTTCATGACTTTATTTCAAGCAAAAAAAATCGAATTTTTTAAATATTTTTTATTTTTTTAAAAAAATCGAATATTTTATTTTTTTATTTCTATTTTTTTATTTTTTGAAAAAAATTGGAATTTTTAATTATTTATTAAATTTTTTTCCTTTTCTTTCCTTTTCTTTCTCCTCCTTCCTCCTCCGCGACCGGCCGACAATGGCCACAGGCGAGCTCGAGCTTGCTGGCTTCGGGCGAGCTGCGAGCTCAGGCGAGCCTGGATCTGGTGAGCCGAGAGCTTGCCGGTCCGAGCCCGGGCTCGCCTGAATCTGGCGAGCCGCAAGCTCGCTGGCCTTGGCCGAGCTTAGGCTCGCCTGGATCGGCCGAGCCTCAAGCTCGCCAACCTGGGTTTTGGCCGGTCGCCAGGCTGTCGGCCATCGCTGAGCACGTGGCCGGCGGAGGAAGGAGGATATTTTGGCAAGACCAAAATCGGAAATCTTGGGGTGAGGCTTTATGTCAAAGTGCAAGATCCTGGTGTTGCAACCTCTATGCAAGTACTCTAGCCCATGAGCTATGCCAAGGGAAATCTGCTACAATGTGTCCCAACTAAGTAGTTTGATCTACCTCCAAATTGTTACTCTTGTTGAATATGAACTTTTCAAGGGATTCATTGGGCATGCACTCATAAATCAAAACTCTTTTGCTTCCTTCAAAACAGAATCCCAGGAGGCTAACAACATTGACATGAGAAGTTGTGCTTATGCTTGCAACTTCATTGAAAAATTCTTCAGCATTGCCTTTTAGCTTCTTTAGAAACTTCACCGCCACAAGTTGACCATCTCAAAGCTTGTCTTTGTACACGCAACCATAGCCTCCCTGGCCTAACTTTTCTTCGAAAGAGTTGGTCATCCTCTTGATGTCTTTGTAGGTGTATCTTCTCGAAGAGACAAGTCCCCTGATTTTCATTTCGCCATCGAAATTTTCGCTCCTCTGCTTTATCAAAGCCATAATTCTTCTGATCATTGGTTTCTTCCTGAAGGAAATCATTAAAATAAGGGCGATCCCAATTCCTGTTCCCATTGCAGCTATTCCTAAAAAAGCAGAATATCGTAAACAACAATCTCACTTCATCACTTTATCGAGGCTTCTAAGTTGCGAATATAGAAAATACTCAGCGAAAAGCACAGTTGAGCGGATTACCTATGATAGCTTTTGTCCCCAAAATGCCTGGTTTCCCTCCTAGGACACAAGGCCTTATCAAGTGAATCCCAAATGAAGTAGCGATGAAACTAGTAGAGGAGTGCTTCCTACAGTGCAATAGATCGCGCATATATATCGTATTGAAGAATACAGGGCTCATGCTTTGATCCACACTTATACAATTTGTAAATGAGGTCATGCCCAATTGAAAAACGGTTTTACTTATAGGGTTAATATCTAATTCTATGTACAGTTCCTATCTATCAGTTGTTATATATTTCAATCGCACACTTGATCAGATTTGAGCCCCACTAGTAGAGATGGAAGCTTTCTTTTGTTTGGTTATGTGCACGATAAATCCTACAAAGAAAAGCAAGTTGTCGTACAAGTTCTGCCAATTCTTCCATGAACTCGGTGCATCTTCACTCAATACATTTAAACCATTGTTGGATATTTTAGGGGGCATAAGCCGGCTGTTTTCCAATTAACAAGCAAAGGGAAGGGTATGCCCAGCAATCCATCTCATCGAACAGCTTTAGTTAATTGACAACCACATATCAGGTGAGATTAAGCATACATACCTGAAGGGACGCTTCCTGTTACTGGCGATCCATTGCAGATCGCTGAATGGGCTCCATCAGGGCAAAAACAATTGAATTCCTGCCTTGTCCAGTTGCGCCCGCATCTTCCCCCCGATTCGGTGTAATTTTCACACTGCGATGTGTCGCCAATCCAGGTAATCTCAAAGCCTTTGTTCAGGAACAAACTAATTGCAGCATGATTAATAGTAGCACTAACATTGCTATCCTTAAAATTAAATAATCACTAAATGAGCTGAAATGATACAAGGAAACATGGATATTCAACAAAGATGATGAGGAACTCACGGCCTTGCAATGGGATATATTAGGATTTAAAATACCGACAAGCATCAACCTTAAAACAAACCGAAATGTAACTTTTTTCAATTAACATAAAAAAAAAAAGACTGATTCTACCAAAGATAACATTGATCCTAGACGTGAAAACACATACATCTCCTTATAAAAAAAGGAACTCATTACTCCGTAAGATCGAGACATTTTGCTCTCATATTCGACTTTGAACTTCGGAGTTTAAGCTCTAATGACAATGAATCGAGGAAATAAAGATTGAAACGAAACAAGTACATTAATCTTGCCTTCAGTACTTCGGCCCGAATGAGCTCCTTCAAATCACGGCAACAGATTAAAAATATGTGAAATTGAAAATTATGGAATTTCTATGTATTGGATGTATAATTATGAAGGGTACAACCTATTTATAGGTTTTGTGAGATTATTATCTATTGACACCCGAATTTTGGTCGACCATCCAAGCATTCATTTCTTTTGCAAAACTCCAAAAATAGAAATTTCAACGAAGAAGACATCAACTAAAACTGTTCGTCGTCAGGGAAAAGAAGGCTGACGACTTTGTGGAACTCAGTTGACTAGATCCTAACGTTTCCTTCTTGCCACAGTAACCAGGTAAACTTTCTGCTTGTAATGCTTTGTTTTCTCACTGAGGCATAGAGCGCCGAATTTAATGAATGATTTCTGGTCAAAATCGTGTGAAACCGAAGCGGATTTGTGGAATTTATTGGTGATTCAGAACTTTGTATGTTGTGTTTAAGCGGAAAATCGTTTGGAAATAAAATCAGAAAAATCGTTCCTGAAGTTGCATATCATATGTTCGACAAAATGCTTAATTGAAGAACCGAATTGATTTTCGTGAAATCGATGCATGGAGCTCGTTCTTTTGTGCTTGATTCGGTCTTAGTTTGATGAATCAATACTGAATCCGTGGTTTTTCCGTGATTTCTGTGGCATTTATGCATAAGGGTTCGGTCATGGATGAGACTTCGGTCGGAGATATATTCCCCCTCGCCGGAGCTAAGCCAGTGGTTTGAGGCCGCCCGAGTTAGTCTACTCATCTCCGTTTTAGTACGCATATGCTTGTTTGTATACTAGATTAGTTGTATGGATTTGGTGAATGAATTTTTTGGGCCGGAATAGGTGACCGGCGTTTCAGAAACTGCCGACCAGCTAGTGGCCGGCAGTGATTTGGCGTCGGCCGACCGACGGGAAGTGGTGGTCGGTGTTGGCAGTTAGTGTTGATGGCGGGATCCGTTGGCCAGAGCTCCGGTATGAGGTTCGCGTTAAAAATTGGTCCAGGGGAGCTCTGGTGAGGAAGACGTAAGGAGGAAGACGACACAGAGAAAAGGAAAAATAGAAAATACAAAAAAAAAGAAAAAAAAGAAATACAAAATAGAGAATAAAAGAAATTAAAAATAATAAGAAAAAGAAATAGAAATTTCGGATATAATGAAAACCGGGTCGGGTTCTCTTTGGGTCGGAGCAGAGGAGCTGATGGGCTAGAGATTAAGACAGGTAAATGGGCTCAATATTATTGTGACTGGGCTGAACTTTTAGTTGGGCTAAAATGAATAAAAAATTGGAAAACTTGGGCTTGAATTGTTGATAGCCCATCAGAAGAGACCCAAATTTTAACTGGGCCCAAGGACCGGTCCGAATTGCGAATCTGACCCGGACCGCTAGAGTCTGAATCAGACTAGCTAATTGGACCGAATTCCTTGACCCGGTCCGGAGTCCTTATCCTTTTTCAAAATAAAAAAATTCAGAAAAAATATAAAAAAATTCAGAAAATCCAGAAAAATAAAAAAATGGGAAAAAAGCTATAAAAAAAATTAGAATTCACATAGTTTAGAGCTTTTAATAAACACTTTAGGTTTGAAAAAAAATTGAAACCAAAATTGAATAAGCTTTTAGGGCTTTACTTAGGGATTTTTTATTGTTTTTTTTTTAGAGACGATGCTAGGTTGCTGTTTGTGCACTTTCATTCTGTTTTCATTTGATTGCGCACTTTAAATACATTTTTTTGTTGTTTTTCTTTTTTAGAATGGTTAGGACGAAATTTTAAATTCTCGATTTGTGAAAGAATGCCCTGACATTTTGGTTGGCAAATAGTCAAGTTTAGGTATTGAAAAGGCATTAGTTGAAAAAACTAGTGTAATTAAGTCTCCAATCCCTAAGAATCTCTGTTTGCGTATGTTTTTTAGATAACACTCCCGCATCTTGATTAGGGTTTCTAGCCGACCCTTCATCGTGATTAGTGGCGACTCCTATCGAACATATAGATTTAAACAAACAATATCACGCGAGGTATGAACTTAGAGATGATCTCATAAAATACCTCTAAATCTACTTCCCGAGGCAGCCCTCGAGGGGTAGGTTGCGACATTAGCTAAGGTAACATATCAAATTTGCAGAATCAAATGGAGATACGGAGAATCTCTTAGATATATACATTATCATAAGAAATATGGAAAATCAAGGAAAATATCGTCTAACCTACAGAGAGAGAGAGAGAGAGAGAGAGAGAGAGAGAGAGAGAGAGAGAGAGAGAGAGAGAGAGAGAGAGAGAGAGAGAGAGAATATGTCCTTTAAAATCCCATTTCCTTTTTTCTTTACATACTTCAAGCCTTTAAGCCAAATGTTCTGAAAAAGATTAGGGCAAAGTGGGTGCCTCCTTCCTTGCGTGCTTGAGGCCATGTGATGCGTGCCTCCTTCCTTGCATGCTTGAGGCCATGTGATGCGTGCTTCCTCTTTGTCCCACCAATATTTCACTATGCTCCATTTCAAAATGAGGTCCATTCTTAGTGGTTAATTGGTATTAGGAATAAGCGATTTCAGGTTCTCCCTAAAACCTGGAACCTATCTATGGGAACAGATTTCTCATATTTTGGAACCTGGAACCTACACTACGTATCTTGGAATTTGGAACCTATCCTGTCACAAGTTCTAAGGTCGGTTTCAAGGTCTACCCAAATTCTACATGTATTATTAATTGAACAGTTGCAGTGAATCATCACCTTTAATAACAACCACTTGCTGCTACGATCCACTGACCATAACTTATATTTGGACACACGAAAAATATGAAACATTAATAAGTTATAAAATGAAAGCTTAAACTAGTGGTACTAGATTATACACTCATCATCTAACGCCATGGAACACTGCGGGATCACACGAAGACATAGACTAAGAAAAAACACAAAAAACTTGTTTAAGATTTCAGGTTCCGGGTTCCACCTAGCTAGAACCTATTCATCAAAACAGGTTCCCTAATTCTTGCATACCTTGAACCTGGAATCTGCAGATTCCCACCGGTCAGGTTCTTAGGTTCTAAATTCTACCCTGGAACCATGCTCACCCCGAATTGGTATGATAAAGTTAATGTATTTGTGAAATATAAACTGATCTGCTAGCTTTGTTTCCATTTTTTTTATAATTATTTAACTTATTTTTTTCATTTGTTTTATATTTTATTTATGGTCTGTGAATTGGATTAACCATGCCGTAGTGAAAATTCTAAAATCACAATGTCCCTAATCGTGATGAGATGTAGTAAGCTATGTAAATACTTAATGATATGGGGTCAATTTTTTTGGGTTACGGGGTCAATTTATGTCATAAATTAGATTCCTAATTTTGATAAAATGTGATAGAGATCCATATGTGAAAATTTAGGTGTTGACAATGCAATTTCACTTCTTTTTTTTGGCATCGTGCTTGTAGAAATTCAACCAAGACATTTGATCACAAATTTATGAACAACTCACTAATCATTAATTTTGCAGTTGCTTTTTTTTTTTTTTCAAATAGTATGTTACAAACTATGTCAGTCTCTTATACTTGACATTGAATAACCCCAATTTGAGTCATTACTCTCTTGCAGAGACGAACTTTCACATGGACAAGCCGTAAACAATCTTGAGGGTGATGACAAAATGGGTTTGGGAGGAATTTGCAAGGCGTCAACACTTCCTTTTAGCATCTCCACAACTTGGGTCATACATGGTCGAGCTCTCGGATCGATCTGAATGCACCATAACCCTATTACAATCATCTTCTTCGTGATTTGTTCGTCCTCCTCATTTATGATCCCACATAGCCCAAGCTCTTCTCGGAGTTCCAGGCGTCGGTGGACCCAATGAGGGAAGTATATTTCGCTGGTTCGATCTACTGTGACTTCAATATTTTTCCTCTTACCAACCATCTCTAGAACCATCATACCGTAGCTATAGACATCGGATTTGTGAGAAACCCCTCCGATGTTCCTTATGATCAGCTCCGGAGCAATGTATCCGGCGGTGCCCCGGGCACCAAGCAATGACACGATGCTCTCTTCTCTTGGGCATATTTTGGCAAGACCAAAGTCAGAAATCTTGGGACAATAGTTTGCGTCAAGGAGAATGTTGTGAGGCTTTATATCAAAGTGCAAGATCCTCGTGTTGCATCCTCTATGCAAGTACTCTAGCCCGTGAGCTATGCCAAGCGAAATCTGGTACAATGTGTCCCAACTCAATTGCTGATCTACCTCCCAAGTGTTACTCCTGTTGAATATGAACTTCTCGAGTGATCCATTAGGCATGAACTCATAAACCAAAGCTCTTTTGCTTCCTTCAAAACAGAACCCCAAGAGGCTGACAACATTAACATGAGAAGTCCTACTTATGCTTGCAACTTCATTGAAAAATTCTTCTGCATCACCTTTCAGCTTCTTTAGCAGCTTCACCGCCACAAGTTGACCGTCTTGAAGCTTGCCTTTGTACACGAAGCCATAGCCTCCCTGGCCTAACTTTTCTTTGAAAGAGTTAGTCATCCTCTTGATGTCTTGGTAGGTGTATCTTCTCGAAAAGACGAGTCCCTCGATTTGCATTTCACCATCGCAATGTTCGCTCCTATGCTTTATCAAAGCCATAATCATTCTAATCACTGGTTTATTCGTGAAGGAAAGCATTAAGATAAGGGTGACCGCAATTCCAGCTCCTGATGCAACCATTCCTAAAAAAAAAGAAGAATATTTTTTAGCAGCAATCTCACTTCATCATTTTATCAAGGCTTCTAAGATTTTATTGCAAACATTGATTCCGTTGAGCACTGATACAAGCTTTCTGTCAAAGAGTCGGAACTAATTGCAGAGAAAATATAGAGAAATGGAAGAGTGAGTCTTGAAATAATTACCTATTCCGATTTTCAGTCCAACCTTTCGTTTTCCTGAGACAGTAGTCATCAAAAGTGAAAAATGTGTCAACTGAATTGCACACTGATGAGTTCAAAGTGTCTGAGATATAAGGATCAGGGAACATCATGAGGTTATAGCACATTCAGTTTCAAGAAAGAAAAAGCACCACGATCGAGCGAAAAGATTACAATATCACCAGTTGGCTCAGTCCTCCTCTTGAACTCTTTTCGTGGATCAATTGGTGACATCTTTCTAGAGAAATTGAAAGCACATGCTAATGGATCTGTAGCTGATTGACTAACGAGGATAGACATTAGCTAAAATCCTGAATACTAGAGCTATCAGGGGATGCACAGGAAGACAGGAAAAAAAAATTTCTAACTGGTATAGAAGTAGCAAATACTCTGCAATATGATCAACAATGTGGTATCAGAGGCGAAGACAGATAAACTTTCTGTGGCACTAATTGAATGCGTGGGATGTTCTAGTCATGTCTCAACTCTTTTGGCTTCTAAACGGACCTATAGGCTTGAGTAGAAGTCATTCCACGGATAAAACAAGTGGGCAGCTGATGTTCAGGCAAGAATTTTCAAGCTTCTTGAATCGTAAACACCCATTTGATAACTCGCAAACTATTGCAGAAAGATAGAAACATAAAAAATATATGAGATTCCGATAACATATCTTGGGACCCAAGAGATTGGAGAGTTTTCTATGCAGCAGTAAGCGAGTCCACAATCTAAGCCAAGGCGAAGAAATTGGAAAAGCTTAAGGACATTATTAACAGCACGTATAAATAAGTGCGTAGTTCACCTCTATCAATAATTTATTTCAACTACACAAATGATCAGATTTTAGCACCACTTGTGGAGACATAGTTTTTCTTTTCATTTGGTTGTGTTCATAATAAAAGCCCAAGAAGAAACCAGTAGTTTTAGCCCAACATTTGCAAAATTTTACAGTAAAGTCAAAGCATCTCTATTCAATGTATTTAAACCATAAAGATCTAACAATTAATTGCAGTAATTGCCTTCCAGTTCAATAGTAACCCCTTCTTCAAGCTATTGAAATTGGCATTAATGTAAACAGGTATGCTAACTGCAGAATAGCAGGAGCTGACGGCAGAATAGTAATCCATTTCCAAATTCTTCCTCGGGAAAAAAGCAAAGAACGGTGGGTGGAGTTGCTAGCACAGTCCATTGGATATGTAAAAACCTGTCGGCTGTGAGGTGCAATTATAGCAGAAGAAGAAATCGGCATTAGTAGAACTGAGATTGAAAGGCGTCCTTTAGAGGCTGATATTACGTGGCAGAGCATCACAGGATTCCTGGTACATGGGGGCATTAATTAGGAGGAACGAATTGGTCGCATGGAAGATATCCTCAATGATAAACTCCCCGTCGAGAAAGTCAGGACAGGGTATATCTCTTTGCAGGTAATCTGGAAATTCGGATAGCCACAATAGGACTCTTGTTCGCCAGAAATCCTAAAGGGATAGCTAAAGTTTGGCCCATATCTGCAGTTCCGAGGCATGCAGGCCTTGTATTATGCATCATCCGATAGAGCCAGATAGACTGAGTTGGTGAAGACGATGATAAGGACCAATGGGTGACAATTAGCTACACACATGAAGTTTTGATGATTCATTTGGACAGGAAGGAGGCAGAGGATTGCAGAGGAAAGGAGAAAGAGGTAGGAGAGAGTGTGGAAAGCATTTGTGGAAACATCAAATGGTTGGTTTGAATTGGTCCTAACTCCTATCACGGTCATGTGCTAGTTCTTCAACTTCGAAGCAAATACCAAGCGAGGCAGAAAGTCGTCTGATGCGTGCATTATTCAAACACCCAATGAAGAAAATTTGCAAAAACTTTTCCCCACAAAATCCTGAGGAACAAACCATGAAACTTCCTAGTCAAAGGGACCTCTAAATTACAATTAGGAACAAGCCTCCCATTATACAAATCTTCGTGACTAGTCAGCGAAAACGAGTCTCTCCCTGAAGAATTGATGGCCAAGCAGTAGCTAACTTGAAATTTCCTCTTGCTAGGCGCCCCAAAAAGAAAAATCATAGAAAAGTCATTCTTGTCGCATGATATTCTTAGATGGAGGAAGACAAAACAAGTACGGCGCCATCAAATTTCCAGCAAAAGAAACAAGCGGATCACATTCAATCGAATTGAGTTTTCTCTGGACAAGTTCTCAGGTTCCATTGGCCATATGATCTTCGAGGTACTAATCAAAACTAACTCCGCAGCAGCTCAAGGTTTAGTGATTTTCATGCATATTCTACGCTGTCGATAATAGAATCTCATGCGCTGATACAGAAAAGAACCCACCAAATGAAGTAGAGAATGATCACTTGGGACTGCTACCTAAAGAACGTACCAGGGTGATTGCAGGTACCAGCGTTTGGTTTGTTGTGGCAATGACACGTGAAACTAGATGATGAAGAAGAGGAGCTGCTACCGCATAACCCGCCAGAAGAAGCGCACGCCGAGCACTCAGGTTGGTCACTATACTGAGCGTCGAAACCTCGATTCAAAGCTTCTTGCAAGCTGATATTGCGTCTGCCAATATCATCGAGGGCGCTCTGAAGAACAGGAACCTTGATGCTCTTGATGCAGTTGGTGACGTTAAACGGGTGACTATTCAAGAAAATGTCATCCATGAAGAAAGCCGACTTCCTGGAGTCGTTGTAGAAGCACTCGAACTCGTTGCTTACGTTCTTCAACGAGTCCAAACATCCGTAGAAGATGCTGAGGCTCTTAACGGCTGAGCTCATATGAAAGAGAGTGGAATCCATCATGCTAGTATTCCTAAACTCGCCCAAGCACGTACCGTCCACCAGATCCATCCTCGCGATCGTCATCGTACGAAGATGTTGATCAATCTTGAGGACTTGGTGCTTTTGCGCTTGGTACTCAAGGATAGGGTGCTGCTCCTCAGAGCACTCGACCTTGAATCCTTCAAGTCCACAGAATTGGGGTCGGCCGCCTCCCCAGAAAGGATAAGTTAAATTTTCGACGGTTCCGCAACTAAAAGAGCGGCGGCATTCAGTATAGTGGACATCGTCGTCTCCCTCGCATAAGAGAACTCGTGGGACGATGAGGACGACGAGGACAAAGACGAGGATGGAGTGCGAAGGGGAGGAGAGAAGGAGAACGGCTGCGTCACCCATTTGAGTAAAGTTCACGCTCTCACGGGTGCAGAATATCATGTGGAATGAGGGATCAGAGTTAAGAGAGGCATGCCGAGGATGGAGAAATTCTTTTCTTATTTACCTTCTCCGAAGACTGAAGTGTGAAAGAGATGGATGTGGTATTTCCTGCAAGGATGGAAATAAAAGGATGGCTATAAAACGTTGAAACTGGGTCTAGGGGTGGAAGTGATAAGGAAGATGCCGCCAGGAAACATGCAAAGCAATTTCCTCCGCATTTCTTCCCATGTAGTTGAAATCGAAAAGTGGAACTTCTTTTATAGGTTCTCACTTTGAAAAAGACTTTTTTATAGGATGGAGAAATTCTTTTTCATTCACTTTCTCCGGACTGAAGTGCGAAAGAGATGGATGTGGTTGATTCTTCATCAGTGCGAAAATCATCCCCCTTTCGGTCCTTCTCGAAATGCATACATTATAGTTCACCAAAATATCGTGCATTGGCAATTCAAAGGTGTAATCATATTGTTTTAGAGTCCAATCAATGGTTTAAAGTCGAACTTAAACACTCTCTCCAAATGTCATGCTTCGGAGAAAATATCTCAACCAAAAAGGCAGCCAAGAAGAAGAATCAAAAGAAAACCAGAAAATGACACTTCAAATGTTCAGCGTTAACTCTGATTTGAACGAGTCAAAAATCAAAATTTCTCTTCCAGCCAGGAGTGTCTCTATTTGTGAGACTGGTTATATCGAACTTAAAGGAAAAAGAGCACATTATATATCTTTGCGGGCCATTTACTAATGTATAAATCATTGAAACATGAATTGCTAATTTTGCTTCTATCTTGTTTTCTAGGAAAAATTAGACGATCAATCGTTTTCCCTTCTTTCCTGCAAGGTAAAGAAAGGGAAAGAAATAGGTAATCCTATGCCATGGGAAGAATAACGCGAAGTATATTATCTGATTAAAAGGTGACTTATGTAGTCTGAGACATTGCTTAGTAAATCAAATTAATGGACCCACCGTAATATACCTAACATTACCTCATCATCTGAATATTTACGTAGGCTTTCTATCACATACCAGAATATTAACATCGTATATTATAATATAATTATGGATATTAATTTCATCAATACATGGTGCTAACAGATCTAGTTTTCGAGCTAAGCTTTGACTAGGCTTCGACCATGAAGAGTTCTTTCTAACATCGGAATGGAAAAGGAGACGAAAAGGCTTGACCTGGCTTCGACCACAAAGGGTTCGACTTAGCGTCGACACTATAGGGAGACTACCAAGCTTGACCTCAAGATCACTGATTAAGCATCACAGATAACAAGGAATTGCTTACACATTGATTACACTTAATCACGAAGGAAGTTGGTGCGTTTACAACTGTAACATTTGTTGCCTAGCTAGTTCTTTAGAATGATCCATAATAAAATCTTTCAATGAAATGACAAATCTTTCAACTATACTCATTAAATGAATTAGGCCTATCCGATTCAAGAGTTGATGTGAATTGGATTCACATTCGTGCATTATTCGAACACCCTATGTTAATGCATCAATGTCCCACACGGAAAATTTTCCCTGGAAAGTCTTGAGGAACAAACCATGAAACTTCCTAGTCAACTTGTTGAAATGTTGACATTGATGATCCAGCACAAACCATGAAACTTCCGAGTCGAAGGGACCTCTAAGCTACACTAAGGAACGAAACTCCCGTTATACAAATCCTACTAAGCAGCGCAAATTAATTGTAGATTTTTCCTTTTTTCTTTTCTTCCAATTTACAAAACTTTAGTGCTAACAAAAATTAATTGTTTATATTATATTGCACATTTCATTGGGATTCTTGCCCCTGCCATGGCCAGTCACCGGCCAATGGTAGAAGAAAGGAAAATAAAGAAAAAATTAAAAAAATCTAAAAATATTATTAAAAATTCTCCATGTCAGCACTGACGGTGTCACGTAGGCCAGCCGGCGTTCACGTCAATAATATCCAGCCAAAATTAGCCGGAAAAACTGAATTGGCTCTAGATCAAAAGATTTAGGACCAAATTGTCATAATTAAAAAAAGTTTATGACTAAATCGGCACTAATTCTATAGGGATTTATGACCTTTCCGACACTTTTTTCATTAAATTATGGGTACATCATTTAATCAAATAACCATGTTTCCCATGAGACAAATACAAAGCTAAAGAGAAGAGGAGTAGTGGCGTGTAGCAACCGGATTAAGGAATAAAGGGAGTGATCCGCTTCTAAATTGCCAGACGATGATCTTCTCCCTCACTAAGACAAGAACAAAGAAAAATGCCAAGCCACCGCCATCTCTGCACTCTCTCTCCTTCTCTCTCCCTCCTCCTCCTCCTCTTCTTCTTCTTCTTCGTGAGCTTCCATGGTGTCCGATCCGCTTTCTCGACCATTTGCGACCCCGTCTCATCCTCGTTCCTATGTGGCAACGTCCCCATCCGGTATCCATTCTGGAACGACAGTGACGCCCCCGTGCACTGCGGCTACCCAGGCCTCGGCCTCGATTGCCCGTATGGCTCCGTTCACCCGACCCTCTCTCTTCCGGGCGACGCCTACTTCGTCACCGACATCAACTACGACAACCAAACCCTGACTCTCGTCGACATCGACGTCGCCGAACAGAGATGCCCCAGGGCCCGCCACAACCTCACGCTCGGCTCGCTTCCGCTCGGTTACAACTCCGCCAACGTCAATCTCACCTTTTTCTTCAACTGCACAGCTCCTCCGGTGGAGTCCATGCCCGCCGTGCCCATCGATTGCTTGCGATCCGGTGATAACCGGTCGTACGTGTTCGTGAACAGAAGCCTTGAGGTGGTGGCGTCGTACGAGGGGGAGTTGGGCTGCGAGGAGATGGTGGCGGCGGCGGTGAAGAGGACGGCGGTGACGGGGGCGAACGCGGTGGAGGAGTTCGCCGGGGCGATGAGCGAGGGGTTCGTGCTGGACTGGGAGGCGGCGAAGGAGTGCAGCGCCTGCGAGCACTCCGGCGGGCGGTGCGCGTTCAACCAGACTGATCAGTTGATGTGCTTCTGCAACGACGGGTCAAATCACATCGACGGTTCTCTTTGCAAAGGTAGGAACGAGGCTTTATGTCTGTTTATTTTCTCTCTTTCTTTGGGACATGGTTTTCTGCATTTTGTTCGCAAACCGCCATGATTGCCTTTTTCAATGCTTGTCACTTCTTAGCTGCGTGTGCTTTGGTTTCTGTGTATTTTTCATGTTTCAGCAGCTTTTAGAACTAGAAAAGAATATACTTGGGCCTTACCAAAAAAAAAAAAAAAATGTACTTAAGCTGCGCATGGCAACTTGCCAAACAGTATTTGATTCTGTTCTTTTGTTCTCAGAATCAGTTTGGGAACAAAAATGCGTTTGTTTAATTTTTTGATTCTGGGCACAATTTTATCAAAAATTGTTCCCAGAATCAGTTTTCAAGAATAAAAAAAAAGTAGCTTCTTGATTCTGGGAACAATTTTGAGAATCAATTTTTTTTTCTTCTTCCTTTTCTTGGTTTTTAATGTAGTTTCTAATGTCCAGCCCGAGGACCGCCCTCGCCGGATCTGACGAGAATAAAATATTTTAATAAAAAATATTATTAATAAAAAATATTATTAAAATAAAAAATATTTTACCGGCCATGGCCGACGACCATGCCATGGCAAAAAAAAGAAAAAAATATATTTTTAATAAAAAAAATTATTAATAAAAAAAATATTTTACCGGCCATGGCCGGTGACCAGGCCATGGCAAAAAAAGAAAAAATATATATTTTTAATAAAAAATATTATTAATAAAAAAAATATTTTACCGGCCATGGCAAAAAAAAATAAAAATATATATTTTTAATAAAAAAAATTATTAATAAAAAAAATATTTTACAGGCTATGACAAAAAAAAAGAAAAAAATATTTTACCAGCCATAACTGGCGACCAGGCCATGGCCAAAAAAAATTAAAATATATATTTTTAATAAAAAATATTATTAATAAAAAAATATTTTACCGGCCATACCAGGCCATGGCCCAAAAAAATACAAATATATATTTTTAATAAAAAATATTATTAATAAAAAAATATTTTACCGGTCATGGCCAGCGAGTATGCCATGGCCAAGAAGGAGGAAAAGAAAAAAAGAAAAGAAAAAAAAGAAATATTAAAATATTTAAAAATATTATTAATAAAAAGAAATTTTGTGGCGTTACCAAGCGCATTTCTGTTCTTTTTCTATTACAGGGATGGAATTTTGGGCCGTTAACAAACGCCTTAAAATGCTCAGAATCAATTTCGGGCACAGAATCAAAAAGAATCATTTTTCAGCAGTATCTGTTCCGGGGCACAGAATAGTTGTCATGCGCAGCCTTGGTCTATCAATTTGTTAATAACTTATTTTGTATGATTTGCATAGTGATCAATCATGCACGTACATTAAGGATTGTGCAAAACAAACCGCCCAAATTAAAAACCGTCTGGACCGGATCGGATCGGCTAATTTGATCCGATTCCTGAAAGTATCAGTTCGGTTTCCGATTCTTAAAAGTGAAACAGGTATCCAGGCGATTCGGTTCTCGGTTCCAAAGGGAATCGGACTGACCGGATCGGATCAACTACGTATTTATTTTTTTATTTCTTCAAAAAATGTGAACTAATCCTTAAGTGAAGTACATTTTTTAGTTCGTCTTTTCAATTTGAGGATCATTACTAATGTTTGATCATTTATGGTTGCAAAATAATCATTATCTTTTGATGATTGGTTGGTTTAATTTATTGTTTTCGATCTGCAATTTATGAACCTGTTTTTTTAATTTTTATTTATCATAGAAGATATATGAGCACATAGTTACGGTACTTTTACTAAGACTTGTTTTTCTAAAAAGTTAGTAGGGAACACGAAAAGATGACATCAAATAATGGGACAAAAAAGTGACCAATTTCATTAGACTGAATCCGTTTCCCGATTCTACGCTCATCCGGGAACCGATCACCCGTAATGTCTACCCCCTCGTAAGAAAAACATGTAAGGGCACATGCATTGAAAAGTCTTTGGTCTTCGTTGGCCTGGGAAAAGTCTCGGTCTCTTGCCAAGTCATCATTAG